AATTGCTTCAGTGTTCTGTCCAAAGAACCTGAAAGGATTTAACCAAACAAACTTATGTTATACACATAGTTCCCTTTACTATCTTGAAGAGAGCAAAAAAAGATTGGTGAGGAATATTATGAATTCATTTTATTTCGCTAGGTTCTCATCAGCTGCTTACAACTTAGAATATTTTAAAATCAAAGTTATCATAGAAATCGACATACTTATAGATATGAAGGCGATTAGAGATGAAAATTTGTTTCATGTTTCAGCGAAGGTTCCAATAGACTTAATAAGGTCATAAAAAATTTTGTTTCGGATAAATAACATTTGGTAGGGAAAGTTCCAGAACATCGAACTGCTTATTAGAAATCATAGAGTTAGCAAACATTAGATGATTGTGTGAGGAAGTAACTAAAAATAGATTAATAATCAATGATGCAATAAAAACGGTGTAATGTTACCAGGACAAAGAAAGATTTATTATTATTTCTTTTTGGACATATAATCTAGTTGTAGACGTTTGATTGCTATAGCTTCAGTAAATTTTAAATTGGAATTCGGTTGTTTAATCACCTTAAAAGGTGATAAATTTTTCTTTGCCCTAGTAACATTACACCCTTTTTATTCCATCATTGATTATTAATTTCTATGATAACTTTGATTTTAAAATATTGTAGGTTGTAAGCAACTGATTAGAGCCAATCTTTAATTTTGCTTTCCTGAAAATAGATTCATGTTTGTCATATTTTATGAAGCTGGTGTACCCTACAATGAACGGGAGTTATCAATGCAAAATGCAAATCGGTTTTGTAATATAAATCTCAATGTGTTTGAATTAGAATTTTTTAGGTGATTTTTGCAGGTAGTTGAAAAGAGACCCTGGACATAAGTTTCGAGTTGTTTGACACTTGTCAGTAAGATTTAACTGTAATCTTGTTGAGACAGATACTCTATGGAGACGATACGATCAAGTATCACAAAGCTTCACAGTCAGATACGTTATTATTGGACTATTCGACTCTATACTGACCTCCTGTAGGACTGATATGTACTAACAATAGACTGATCACTGAGTAATGAACAACATCACATATGTCAAGTCCATCTTAGTACCGTTCAAATTCTATCGATTAAATTATAATGTGGCTAATAGTCTAAGTGATTCTATATTGCATTCACTATGATGAGATGTTAGGTGGTGGTTGTACGTAACCGACAGTAGATCCTTGACTCTAAACTAGTGTTCACATCGCAAATTGATCAACAGAATTAAATCAATACTGAAAAGGATTTCAGATTCATGATATTGGTCATTAATCAGTGATCAATCGATTACAAGTATTGTAGTTTATATTAAAAAAATAATGTGAAATTCCTGTTAACATTATAAAGTTCTCATAAAATATTTTACATGAAGATCATTCATTAAGATACATAATTAATAAGGCAAATATATTCGATTTAAAACAGTTGTGTATAAACAATAAATCATAACAAAATAGTTTATAATTCTTTTTATAAATCACTTGAACAAAATAATAAGAAGACAATATCATGACAAAGAAACTGTATGTGACATTTCATTGCTTCATAATGTACGAATAGGAAAATAGTCTGATATCATCATGATTTTAAAAATACACAATGACAATAATATAACAAGACATGTGACAAACTTTTATTGTTTACAATAATAAGTCAAGGACTTTATCAATCTTTTTAAATTAAACGAATCTATAGAAGTAGTTCTTATTAGTTATCTTTAACCAACTTCTGTATGACATATATAAATCTTTGTAACATTCAAATGAACAGTTAACTGAATGTTATTCGTCACTATTTATCAACTTCCTTGACCATCAGAATGCACTTGACACGGTGTGGATAAGAGAACTTTACAAAACCTTCATCGACACTGAGGAGTGAGTAGGTGAGGCGGTAGTCAACATCATATGGAATTCATACAATGGAATACACTGCAATGTGATGCATACAGGACAACTGACAGATGCATTTCCAGTGAGTATCGTTGTCAGACAAAACTACTCTCTCTCTCTCTCCGTTCCACATGTGACAGGAAGCTCGGAATCGGAATACGATGTACAGCTTATATGCAATTAGGTGATTTGGACTTGGTAGATGACCTATCTCTTCTATCTCATACACACTACCAAATGCAAGTGAAGACAGTAAATGTAGCGAAAGCCTGTGTATCAGTAGACCTCAACATATACAAGGCGAATGGCAAGATCGTGAAATGCAACACGGAGAACACCAACCAACACAATCACACTTGATGGAGAGGTTCTTTAATAGGTGGTAAGTTTTATGTACGTGGTCAGCATCATGGAGAACTAAGGAGAATCTGATGTAGATGTGAAATCATGCATCGACACTGCAAGCACAGCATTCCTACCGTGGAAGAACATATGGAACTCAACACAACTGTCTACATGTCAACATCAAATTCACAATCTTCAATACGATCGTCAACACAGTTCTACTGTATGAAGCTGAAACTTGGAGAACTATCACAACCATCATCAAAACAGTACAGGTACTTATAAACAATTGTCTAGGCAAGATACTCCACATCCATTGGGAGGAATCCATCAGTAACAACCTACTGTGGGAGAGAACAAACCAGCTTTGAGGTGAAGAGGAAATTAGAGAGATATCTTGTAGGTGGATACGACACATATTGAGGAAATCACTAAACTACGCCACGAAAAAATTCCTCTCTTGTAATCTTGAATGGAAAATATGAAGAGGTTGACCGATGAACACGTTGCGTTGGTGATTGGAGACAGACATGAAGAAGATGAACAACATCTGGAAAATCTTGTACATGATAGAGTTGTATGGAGAATCTTGGTGGGCGTTCTATCCTCTTCCATGAGGGGTAACAGGAGTAAGTAAGTTATTACTTTCATAGAGTTTCTGTAGATTTATTTTATGCAGTTTGAGGGGCCTCAAAGAGATGAAGATTTACAGTTTTAATGATAAGTTATCATGAAATTAGTTTATTGATATACATTTGTAGTACCTGTACATGTTTACTGTAATCGATTGCTTTATTGTTACTGATACATCGATTAGAGTTCTACTTGCATAACTGATTAAAAACTGGGGTTTTTTATAAGACAGAAGGTAGTTCTGATCGAACAAAAATATGTTTATAATGAATCTTAACACTAATGTATGTTTAATTGTCTATAATTAAAAGTAAATTACTGAAAGTATGATAATTCTGGACAAACAGATAAACAATCAACTTAAAGGTCAAAACATTCAAGTCAACAGCCAGTGTTAGTTCTATAGCTTTTCCCATTGTATAATTAACATACTTTTAGTATTTATTTGTCAGTTTCAACACGACACTACGCAATAATAATTACTATTTCAATATACTTTACTAATTTAATAAAGTACATCTTTTTCTACTTCATTTCTTTCAAATCAAGTTGAATAATTTACAAAAGTATAATTATATGAATTTAAGCAAACCTAGATGATCCACTAATACAGACATGAGAAAAATGAACGAAAATTGGATAGAACTGGAACGGAAGGTCCAGGATAGAGTGGGTTATAGAATGCTAGTCAGCGGCCTATGCTATATTGGGAGTTACAGATGTAAATAAAGTAAACTTTATTTTATATTCGGAAACACATTTTCTAAAAGTCTGATGAAAATAACGTTTAAAAAAATATCTCTTATGATATTTGTATTCTCAAATATATACAAAAAGAAATAAATATGAAATTTAAATAAATAATATATTTGTAATATCCCACTGAGATTTTCCAGCGTTTCGTGACTCAGTGTAAGCCACTTCTTCAGAGAATAAATAACCAAATCAAAATTAATCCAAGTTTAAATAGTACAAAGGAAAAATACAAAAATATTATGACATAATATTTTTATTGTTCATTGGGATGTTACAAATATATTATTTTTATTTATAACAATCAACCCTATATAGTGAAAATTCAGTTTTGACATTGCGGAAGCAATCGCAATCCATGTTCACAAACCTAACCTTTGCATTCAAAAGAGGTTTGTACAACCACTTTCGCTGCCTTGGCCATCGGTATAAAATTTACCTCAACGGAACTATTTTTCATAATTCTTCCATCTGGTTTTTTTTACTTTTGTAATTTTGTTTTTGTTGTTTTTGAATTTTATAATTTCTCAACACTCATCTCTTGATTCATATGTAACTACTATTCTATTGACCATCCATTTAAAAAAAAATTCTTCTGCTTCTCTTTTTCACATATTACGCAACGTAGCAACTTCTTGATTTATTAATTACTTTGAATATTAATAATCCTCTTTCTTCCAATTACTCAATGTTAATTTAAATGTCATTATGTAATTGTTACGTAACATATCGATGAGTATTATATCATTATTGTAAATCATATATTTATATTAGTGTAGAGTCATGATGAAAAACTAATTGAAAAGAAATTTCTTCGCTCAATTCATTCCTTCTTTAATCTACTCTATGATCAATTTATTCGAAATTATCAAGTCAAACCTTGGTAATGATACCTATATATGAAATCGGTTACTATCTAGCAGAATATTATATACTTCCAAAATAAATAATACAATAACTAATAATAACAAATAATCAACTATGAAACATTAAATAGTAATAATTTATATAAATGAAATTTCACTGGTTGAAATCATGAGTCACTTGAAGCTAGACCACCATGAAAAACCTGGAAGCACTGGACGGCCGTCTCCTCATAGTATGAGACTCTTCAGCAGTGAGCATCCACGATTCCACCCCTCACGTGATTCGAACCCAGGTCCTGTCAGTCTCACGCCAGGCGCTTAACCAACTAGACCACTGAGATGGCCGGCATCCGACGGTGTTAATGATGGTCTAGCTTCAACTGACTCATGATTTCAACTAGTGAAATTTCTATAAATCTCCACAAAACCCATTCTGATAATAAATAAAATTATCAATAAAATAATTAAATATAAAACTTACATCTGACATATTGATTAATTTTTTGGGATTAAATGGAATTTTAGTTCCTATACAAATGTTTATTCTAGTTATATTCCAATAATTAAAAAGACAGATCATTGAGATCTCTAATTAGTAATAGTTAAGATCATTTTAATATAAACATTCTTAAAACAAAATTATTTATTTAGATATGAATTTTTTGTATATACACAGAGTTATTTTAATTGGTTAATATAAACATTGGTTGATTAAGAATTGATTGGTTAAATTATTTCATTAAAAATTAATCAGGTTAACTACATTATCATGTATTCATTTCATTTATAATAATAAAATATTAAAAATGGACAATATGTTGGTAGAAAAATAAAAATTCAATTAGTTATTTACTCATCATATCCCGAGCTGACCTACTTGAATATCTAGTCTACCGGTTTTCTGACATCTGGATAGTTCAACAAGTTATCTGTTGTCTTAATTGTTTTAACACATCATTATTGCCTATTAGTCTCATAACCTATTCAGATGTGTTTATGAAAAGTTTATAACATTTCACAGGAAAAGATAGAAAAATGTATAGTCGAAGATATCGTGTTGGCTGGCAATATACATTGAAAAGAATGTATGTTATTCAGATGTCGACTTTTGAAATACTAATCTAACTGGAGATCACTCAGTACTTATTGTCAGGATCGATCAAGAAATGAGAAACGGAAACTCATTGCAATACTTTGAGCTGAGAATTCAATATTGTACCAAAAATATGATATTGAATAAAGCTACTAATAATAATATTATTAATAATAGTTAGAAGTCTGATATGTCAGTATTTTTTAAATAATACTCTTACTAACTGGTTAAAACGTAAACGAAACCAATAATAGTCTTGTTTATATATTTTGATATAAGTTTGTTGTAATGTTGTGTTTACAGGTGAAGTATACTCAGAATTGAAGTGAATACATTACACTTAACACACAAGAAAGTTAAATTCACTTAGTATTGTTACGTTGGATCTTCCATTGATGCTTAGGACTGCAATTGATCAGTCTCTTATTGACATATGTGCATACTATGCATATTGCCTCAATATTTCCCCAAGTCACAAGCATTGTGAGAAAAGATGGATAGTGGCTAGCAGTGGAATCTAGGACACGCGTTTCGTCCGACTTGGGACTCGTCAGCTGGGTGTACCTGCATCCCATCGCATAACCAAGTAGTTATCAAGGCTCACTATCTAAGTAGATAACGCGATATCGTTTGAAGCAAATGGTATTGGGTTTGAATCTCAGGGTAACCATCAACTCTGAGATTCAGGTAAATCCAGTCTTTAATAGGAAGAAAAGCGCGTCCTGGATTCCATTACCAGCCACCATCCATCTTTGCTTGACTGAATTAGTCTGAGTAAATTATCAGTTTACCAAAACCTATGTTTACAAGATATAGCCGAAACTTGAAACTAATTTTACTGTGACCGTTGTACTCATTTATAATGAGTTGCAGAAGAACTTGCATTACTTTTAGTTGTGAAACTTCCTTTTTCAAATGTATTCAAATCAAAATGAATGACATAATTAAGTATGGCCATAACTACAAGGTACCCTATGATTACAAGAATTCTTTGTGGATTATAATTCGGTTAGACACAGTAAAACATATCTCAGATAACCTAAAACATACCAGAATTAAAGAGTTGTGTTCTCAGCTGAATTTATATATCGATCGTGTACATCAGAAGGTCGTTGACAGATTGAGATATTATGAAAGTCTCAGGAAAGACAGGAAATAGGTTTGAGAATACTATTCTCTCATCAGTAATTTGATTCCTATGTGACTTTGTTTATTTGTTCGGTTTACACTGTTGGACAGCTATTTTGACTTTTATTTCGGAATACAAAGTCATTTACATTAAATTCGTATTTGCCAAGTGTCAACGCTCACATGAGAAATATAAAATGAAACTTTAAACTATACGTCATCTTCAGTCAGCTTTAAAAAAGTTTCTCTGGTAAATTTACGTAGGAAGAAAGGAGATTACTAAGAAAAAAGTTTCATTTACCAATATTTTTGAAATTATTTAATTTAAAATATTACAGATCACAATCAATGATCACTAAGCTATTTTTTCGACAGTTAATCAGCTGGATTTTGCAGTTTACAAAACAAACTGACGTTAATTGTTAATCACATGCTGTTATATGAGAGATCATATATCTCGTTAGATAAACCGCTTCGAAAAAAAATTATAAATTTTAATTTTGTATTACTTTCTAATTTATGTCCCAAAGCACATGTACTATGGGACAGGAAACGTAATTCCGTTTGCATCATCTGAAAGGCATTATGCATAAAGTCTTATATCGTGGAACCGATAGTCACTGCTTAAACTATAGACATGTGACTGATATGTTATCATCATTCAAAACTAGGAATAAATTTTCTGGTGAAACTTGATAAATTCTACAAAAGCTGTCAGAAGTTTAACACTTAGTAAATGCAATCTGACGGATACAATGATCAGTCAAGCACTACTCTAATCCCTTTGACTGAACTTACTCTCTGTTATCATAGAAAATATGTACAGATTGTTCGATTTGTGATTTGACATTAGTGATCGACTTGAGTTAAACTACCATTAAAAACCAAGAAGCGCTTATCTAGTAAAAAAATATCACATTACACACTTATGTTATTTATGATTTCTAGTTTAATTAAATCTTTAAGATTTAATACTTAAACTCTGGGAATCTAGATCATCCAAATTTACTTTGAAATATTTAACTCACTACAGACAGGTTCCACCTTTAGGCTTCTATCATGTTCTTTCCAGCTTTCTATACATTTCGTGTTTTATTTCTATAAATGGTTGATTTTTAGAAGACTCCGCCCAGTTTACTGTCATTTTAATAGACTCTAAGATGGTGGAGAAGATTTGTAGCTTAGGTGGATGATTTTGATGGAGTTTTGTTCTCTGAGCTGGATGGTTTGGTCGTGGAGCTTTCACCATTCTTCTGAACGACATCATCAGCATAAACTTCAGATAGAAGTGAAGCGTTCGAATTTCTCCACATGTGGTTCACAGCTTGTCCTGTAGACCTCAATGTTGATTGGTTTATGCTGACGACGTCACTCAAAAGAACGACGAAAGCTCTACGATCAAACCATCCAACTCAGAGAACAAAACTCCATCAAAATTTTAATAGACTCTAATTTTATTAGCTATCATTCTAATAAGTAATAATGTCAATTCATTTATCTTTTCTAACGTATTATATCACTCTACCACGGTTGAGTGTAATTGTAAGAGACATGTGAGATAACGAGATTCATAATATTATGTTCTCCGACAAACTGAGTTTTTGCATGATGAATGATTGCAAGCTATTTGAAACGTTTTATAATTTATAAACATCATCTATATTATTTAAAAGTAAGAAAACGTTGATCTTTTAGAATCGCCAAAACAGAATAACCATCTGAAATTCTACCAATTGTAAATCACTTATGAAAATATAAAAATTATCTACTTTCTCTGAACGTTACAATTTACAATCACTGATATATTTCTGAAGCTTTATGAATTTAACTATATGTTTACTATTTCATTAATTAGCCGTCTAACAAATGGAGTATTGATTAGTTGGACTATTAAACTATTTATTGAGTCATTAAAATAACTTTTATTTCAGATAAATTCATTTTCCATGTAATTGATTGCTTTAACAATTTATTCAGTTTTGTTACCGTAAATTCATAATCAAAATATGTTAAAGGTTAAAGTTCATTAGGTTATGTAGTCCAAAGTAAATGTTGATCAATAAACAAATAAAATTACCAATGAAATAATGCTGACACTATCGAAAGGTTATTAATATCCTTTTTCAGGCAAAAGGTAAGAGAAGAATATGTACATTTCATAAACGTCAAACGTTAGCCTACGTTTCTCAGTAATTTATATTTTGACTGTGGATAAATGTTATATATTCTTACTTCTCTTTTGAGTTGCTTTTTTTTAAATCGATGCAAACTTTTGATTTATAGTTGAAAAATAGAGCCAAACAACTTAATTTTAATGAGATGACTTCTTAAATCCGAAACAATACTTATCTCCAGAAGTCTATCGGGAATTCAAGTGTAGTTTCCTCTTAAAATTCTTTGGAAATTACAAGCATTCTGCTCCAACTTTTGTATTATAAACCAAAAATTGAATTATTATTCTAAAGTTTAGAGTTTGTACAGGTAGAGTTCATAATAGAAAAAGTTGTTTCACAATGTGAGGTTACCACTAGAAAAGCTAAAAACCTCAGTTCCAACCAAATAATAGAAAATCGTCTATTCCCCCCCCCTAATTTATTCATTTCCATCAAGACTTACTTCCATAGCCTTTCTTTAGTTAACCTCATTTATTAACTATAGAATATAATATTTGAATTCAACTACGTTTTATCATGGTATCTAAAAATTTTTCTCTACACTAACCATATGAATCACTTAATCCATTTAAATGATTCAACATATACAATGTATTATTAACTTGATCATCGAACATTGATTCATGTTAATTGTTTAAATAACTTGATTCAATTAATAAAAGTTCTTTCTATGAGATTATGTAAAAGACTTTTTCTTACTCAAATTTTAATCACTTCATTTCTCTCATTTATTTTAAAATGATTAAACGAAACAAACGACTCATTTCAATCGTATGTTTCTTTTTTTTTCTTTTTTTAAATCCCTTAGGATACTTTATACAATATTACTACTTTTTTCCAAACAAAAAAAAAGAAAAAAAATCAATAATTTATTAATTGTTCCGATGTATAAACTATAAGTGTATTTATGTCATGAAATAGAATTCAATTTTAAGCCGAAAGAACAATAAATCACATTGTGCCTTTTTTTTTCTTTTTTTTCTTTTTTTAAATTTGGGAAACGAGTCGTTTCTTTTTTTCTTTTTTTCTTTTTTTTCGACATTAGAAAATGTATTGAATTGCGTGTTCTTTTTGTTGTTTGTTTTTTGTTGAATTCACTTAAGTGAATGTTTATATTCAATTAAACAATAAAAAAAACTATATTGATGAAATTACCAGGTATAATATGTATAGACATATGATGTAAGTAGATATGTAGTTAGTGTTATATTT